GTTCTCACACAACATCACATCTCAACTCGAATTAACGAACCGAACGGGCCCTTCATTTATTTGAGAAAGGACATGGCACATGTGTTGATTTTGGCGCAATGATCTTTTTCGAATTTTTTCCTATCCATTTGCTTCTACAACATGGAAGGATTGAAGGGATAAGGAAACAAAAAAAAAAAGAAGTCAAATAAATTAGTTTATCTCTTATTAACTACAATATGTTAGAATTGGTTGTAAATGATGGAATAAATAATTTTGTTATTATTGATTAACTAAGTAATATAATTGCAAATGTAATTTATTTTAAATGAAATAATTTAGCAAAATGTATAATATGTACGATTGAATAATTGCAATGTTTATAAAGTTACAAATAAGATGATGGCAATATATTAAGTACACATAATGAAATGAGTTAACCCATAAAGAAAGAAAATCAAATATATATCTTTATATGTTTCATATAGATCGAATAACATTTGTATTTGCATCTTTATATATTTAGGATAAGCTAAATAATATTAAAATGTTTATAAAGATAAATAGTTAAAATTTACACTGCTATATTATATTACACATAACATAAAATAAGAAAATAACAACAGTAGATAAATTAAATTTATCAACAAATACAACATAAACGAACAAATTGGCATATGCATCTGCTTTTTCTAAGCTTCTTCCTTCAGAGATGAATAAACAAAGTAAAAGTTTTCTGTAATAAGATTTCATTGCACAAATTTTCAATAAGATAAAGAGCATCAAAATATGAATTAAGAAAATGATATGAGATAAAGAATCAAAAGAAAACAACAAATTCAATAAGGTATAATTATAGTCCTATTCTTGTAAAATGAGAACGGTTTAGACATAGGATGTTTATGTCAATATATAATTAATAAGTTGATTTATATGGGAAGGGAAAAAACTGTTTAGACAGTATAAGGAAAAAATTAGGTGGCAAGTGATGAAGATTATGAGAGAATATGAAAAAATCAGCAATAAAATCAACTATGAATCACAAAAATAAAAGAAAGAAAGTGACATCTTGATCCTTTGACATAGTGATGGGGGCTCAGATATATAATATTTTCAGCAATATATGATGGATAACGAAACTTACACATTTATGACTATTTTGTGGCTGCCAACTATGGGCAACTGCACAAAGGCACAAATATTGGTAGGACATTATATCCATCATATAAGTTACAACATATATGTTCGAAAAAATAACTTGCAAAAGTAGAATATCAATTTGTCCAAAAACCACCAGGTAGCTTAAATAGGAGACCATGAAGTAGTGATGTAATTTTATTTTCTTGTATATATATTTTTTCCTTATATGGAGAAAGAAGCGAAAAGAATAAAGACTAAGTATAATAAGTAGACCGGATCAGAACAAAACAAAGGAAAAAAACAAAAAACAAAAATTGAAAATGCTAAAGCAGATAGAAATTGAAAAAGAAAGAAGTGTTGATGTTCCATATTCCTAGAACAACAAAGAGTCCCACGGCAGAGGCAAAGGATGGACTAAGAATTTAGGGACAAAAGCATTGAAAGTGATGAAGATTATGAGAGAATATGAAAAAATTAGTGATAAAATGAATTAAGAATCACAAAACTAAAAGAAACAAATTTAAATAATAAACATTATGATCCTTTGACATAGTGATGAGGGCTCAGATATATAATATTTTCACCAATATATGACGGATAAAGAAATTTACACATTTATGACCATTTTGTGGCTGCCAACTGTGGGCAACTGCACAAAGGCACAAACATTGGTGGGACATCATATCCATTATATAAATTGTAACATATATGTTCCAAAAAATAACTTGCAAAAGTAAAATATCAACTTGTCCAAAAATCACCAGGGAGCTTAAACAGTGTAATTTTATTTTCTTATATATATATATTTTTTTTTTTTTTTTCCCTTCTATGGAGAAAGAAGTGAAAGGAATAAGGACTAACGATAATAAGCAGGCCAGACCAGAACAAAAGAGAGGAGAAAAAAGAAAAAGTAAAAATGCGAAAGAAAATGGAAGTTGAACAAAGAAGTGTTGATGTTCCATATTCCTAGAACAACAAAGAGTCCCACGGCGGAGGCAAAGAATGGACTAAGAATTTAGGGAAAAAAGCGTTCGAACACATTTTGGGAGCTAAAAAGACTTAAGTAGGCTCTAGGCAGAAACAGAAAAGGGAAATAAAAAGGGTAAGATCATCTCTCCATTGTATGATTAGGAATACAATCAGTGTGCGGGAACAATAATCCTCGCATTTCTAAAACCACAAAGAGGATAACAGCAGAAACAAAGGCTAAAAGGGTCTGAATATAACCAGACACCTAAAAAGACCAAAATACCGACCACCCACAAAGGGAGCAGAAGAATAAAAAGGACAAAACGATAACACTATTGGATGGTCAGCAATAAAATAAATATGCGTGAACTGTGATCCAATGGTTTCTTTTAATGTATATCAAAATATGTAATAGGATAAGTAATTGCATTTTTTTGTACATGGCAGAGGCGTGGAAAAGGCAAGAGTATTAGAGTGGACAAAAAAAAAAAGAAATAGGCAATTTGAAATTTTAGAGCAAAGAAAAGAAAGACAATAGGCTGAATAGGAAATGAAAGAGACATCAGTTTTTGGACAAATTAAATAGACTTTAACATATAAAAATTGAGTACGATCATCATTGCCAATATATATATATATATATATCTATGTCTATGTATGGATCAGGAACTAATAAAGAAAACGGCAAGAGCATCAGAGTAAACAAAGAAAAGAAGAAATAGGTAATTTGAAATTTTGGGGCAAAGAAAAGAAAGACAAAGCAGGCTCAATAAGAAAGATATAACTACAGCAGTTTTTGGACAAATCAAATAGAGTTTAACATGTAAAAATTGAGTATGATCATCATTGCCAATATACATATCTATGTCTATGTATGGATCAGAAACTAATAAAGAAAATGCCCAAGACAACGTAGTGATTTATTTATGAAGCAGAAAACGAAGTAAACACAACATAATCATTTATTTATGAAACAAAAAACAAAGTAAAGAGAGGTTACCGATATTCACTAAAAGTGAAAATGTAGAATCTTCTTCTTTTTAGATGGGCAGTATGCATCAATAATGTAATATAAGTTGAAGTTGACGTGGATAACAAAGGATAAATAACATGTATTAACACTGCTATAGCAAACTACTGCATCCATTATCAACAACATTGGTTAAAAATATATGGATAAAACTTATTAGCAATACCTTAGGCGCTGCAAATAGCACTCCAAATGGAAAAGATGTAGCAAGCAAGCACCAATGTTTAGAAATGGACGGTACAATAAAAATGGAAAACAGTGGATGATATAGGAAACCTGAAATAGTATACATGAATAAGTAAGTAAATGAATAAATAAATAAACAGGCAAAGAAAAGGAACATAAGGCAAAAAAACAAAAAAATGCTGAGGAAAGAAAAGGAAAAAAAAAAGAAAAAGAAAAAAGAAGTACTGAAGACAAATTAAAAAAAAAACATGAATATTATAGTATTTTTATACAATTATCATCGGTTAAAGAATGGAATTTTTCATTAATATGTGATGAAGTAATAAACTAAAGTAAAAACAAATTAGATAACAATGATAGATACATGCTTCGGTAATAGATGATTAAAATTACATAACTCAAAGTTAAAAGACAAAACAAATATCAAAAGGAGACAAAATAACATATTATATCAATAAATAAATTTCAATTCAAATGATGAGTAAAAATACTAGGGATTTGTAATGACAAAAAATGATGAGAAAATATTATAGGCAAAGAAAATAGAAAAAAAAAAGAGCATTTAGTATTGTAAGAAGAAAACTAATACACACACATACAAATAAGAAACAATTAAAAAAGGAAGGAATCAAAGATTCTAAGAGAGAATAAAAAAAAAACAGCACAAAATAAAAATAATACATCAATAGCAATTTTTGGATAAATCATATCAAATTCAACATAGCAAGATTAATCTTGTTCATCATTATCATAAGAGGTGAAGAAAAAAGAGCAATTTTTAGACAAATCATATCAAACTCAACATAGCAAGATTAATGTTGCTCATCATTATCATAAGAGGTAAGGAAAAAAGAGAAAAAAAAAAGTAAAAGAAAGGGAAGGGAGCGAGAAGAGAAAGGAATAGGAAACAGACACAAAAAAAAAAAAAAACAAGGAACAAGAAAAAAAGTGAGGACTAAAGCTAAAACATTCTAAATTATTATATATATCTTAGCATGTTACTAAGAAACGAATAAAGTGCGAGTAAACTTGTTAATGCCATTAAAAAATAATAAAATAATGAAGTCATAGATCAACAAAAGTGCTAAAGTAAAGAAACAACAGACATTAATAACATTAAGAAAAGGTAAGAGGAATAAAATCCAGAAGGAAAGAGGAATAAAATCCCCAAATTTCCACTAAAATCCCACCAACACAACCAACACACTGAAACCACAAAGGATCAGAAGCAAGATCCCGAACAAAAGAAAGACAGAGAAAACGATCACAGGAAAGAGAAGAACCAAAGGAACAGGGACAAAATCGTCCAAGCACACCCTGAAAGACAAAAAGACCAAAAGCCCACTGCCTACCAACCGAATAAGGGGAAAATAAAGGCCAAAATCGTCACTCCACTGCACTATGCACAGTAAATTCAGTCTACATGAACAGTGTTTCGAAGCTTTCCTTTAGAAATACACATGTATAATGACACCATATAGCATACAACATTGATATCCAATAAAAATAAATAATCGTTACAATTCTATCCATATAATAGTATATCCATTATTCATTGCTTTCAACTAAATGCTATAACTTGTGTGCGTATTTATACATTGTCGTTTATGTGGCGCATTTTGCGTTTCAAGCGTTTATAGTATCTGCTTCCAACCTGACAATAATTGAAATTCAACGTAACGTGTCATCATATCACTAAGAATCAGCCTGATGCATGAAACAGTAGTCAAACAAAGTGGCATACTTAGGTTGTATAAACAATTTCAATATAGGTGTCGCTCCAGTAGCGGCACTGGAGACGTTACCCAACTATTTATCCTAAAAAAACCAGAAAAAAAAAAAAACAGTTGCCGTCATGAGTAGTACCCATATTCTGGTCTTCCCATTCCCTGCGCAGGGGCACATGATACCCCTCCTGGACTTCACCGATCAGATCATCAGGTCCCGCAACGCCGGCGAAATCACCATCACCATCCTCGTCACCCCCAAAAACCTCCCTCTCCTCAACCAAATCCTGTCCGTACACCCCTCCATCCAAACCCTAGTCTTGCCTTTCCCTTCCTCCTCTTCCATTCCCCTCGGCGCAGAAAACGCCAAAGATTTGAAACCCAGTTCCGCCCTCGCTATGATCCGGGCCGTCGTCACCCCCAAAAACCTCCCTCTCCTCAACCAAATCCTGTCCGTACACCCCTCCATCCAAACCCTAGTCTTGCCTTTCCCTTCCTCCTATTCCATTCCCCTCGGCGTAGAAAACGCCAAAGATTCCACTTCCGACCTCGCTATGATGCGGGCCGTCGGTGGGCTCCATGACCCCCTGATCAAATGGTTCCGCTCCCACCCCTCGCCCCCCGTCGCCATCCTGTCGGATATGTTCCTCGGCTGGACCCACCGCCTCGCCGCCGATCTGGGCATTCGCCGTATCGTATTCTCTCCGTCGGGGGCTCTGGCTTTGTCGGTCATGTTCTCGATGTGGCGAGATTTGCCCACCAGACGCGACCCCAACGATCAAAACGAGGTCGTTTCGTTCGGTGGCGTTCCGAATTGTCCGAAATACCCTTGGTGGCAGCTTTCCCCGCTGTACCGGAGCTACGTTGAGGGAGACCCAGATGGGGAATTTTTCAGAGACGCGTTTCTTGACAACTTGGCGAGCTGGGGACTCGTCGTCAACTCGTTTGGTGATCTAGAAGGGGTTTACTTGGAGCATCTGAGGAAGGAAACGGGCCATATTCGGGTTTGGGCTGTTGGGCCCGTGAAGCCCATTGAGCAATCTGGGCCCACTACGAGAGGTGGGCCGAGTTCAGTTTCCGCTGACAGCATAACATCTTGGCTTGACAAGTGTGATGATCTCAAGGTTGTGTACGTTTGCTTTGGCACTCAAGCCGTGTTGAGCAACGATGAAATGGAGGCGTTGGCTTTGGGGTTGGAGAGAAGTGGGGTCCGTTTTGTGTGGTCGATCAAGGAGCCGGCGGAAGCACACGTGGAGGGTGGCTACGGGAGGGTCCCGCAGGGGTTCGACGATCGTGTGGCGGGGAGGGGCCTCGTCATAAAAGGGTGGGCCCCGCAGGTGTTGATATTGAACCATCGGGCCGTGGGCGCGTTCTTGACTCATTGCGGGTGGAACTCGGTGCTGGAATCGGTCACGACAGGCGTGCCAATACTAGCTTGGCCCATGGGAGCCGACCAATTCATAAACGCGGCATTATTGGACCAATTGAAGTTGGCAATAAGAGTGTGTGAAGGGGAAGAAACTGTTTCTGATTCGGTCGATTTAGCTCGAGTTTTGGTGGAATCAGTTAGGGAGGATGACCGAGCTGAGAGGCAACGCGCTAAGCAATTACGTGAAGCGGCACTTCGAGCCACGGTAAATGGTGGTAGTTCAGTCAAGGATGTCGAGTCCTTTATTGTTCATTTGGTTGCACTTGGAGTAGCTACTTGTAAGTAAAGCATTGTTTTTTTTTTTAAAGCTAATGAGAATAAAAAGGGAAAAAATTGCAGTCTCAATTAGTAGCAAGCCACTTATATAAGCAAAATGAGGTTTACTTAGAATTTACAGCTAAATTATGTATGCAACCATAATTCAGCACTTTTTCTGTTAAAAAAAAGGGTTTGTAACTTGATTGGTGTTTTAGTTTTTTCGATTGTATGACTAATCATGTTATTTAGAGTTTCATGGTAGAATTGTAAAAGTTAGCACATGTATAACTCGTATGTCTGTTCGTAAGGAACTAATATTACTTACCAATATCAATACAAATGCCATCATTAAAAGGGTACTTCTATGCTTCGAATCCTGTTTTAGTCTTGGATTAAATTTTCATGAGACTAATCTATAAATGAGAATAGTTTTATATCGCGTGTAACAAATTTTTTATTGGAATATTTTTACGGGGACTTTTATAATCATAATAATTCATTCTTAATGTGGAATAGAGCATGTTATGAACAATTATGCTTATGTGAATTAATAAATACATGTATGTTAAATATCGGATCATAATGGGATGAAAACTCGTTTATTAACTAACTTGAGGCTCTTAATCTCCTTATGTTGTAAGTACTTTAATCTGCTCACCAGGTCAAAAAACCTATATAGCATAATGAGTAATTATATTTGTACCCACAAATTTTGTTGATGTCCCTTATAATTAACACTCACTTAATAAATGTTAAAATATATATATATACTTCTATGCTTACGTGAATCAACAAATGTATGTATGTTAAATATCGGGCCATACTAGGATGAACACTCGTTTATTAACTAGCTTGAGGTCCATGGTCTCTCTATCTCGTAAGTACTTAGATCTGCTCACCAGGTCAAATAACCTCTATAGATGTCCCTAGTGCTGAAAATTTAGGCCTGGCCAGGTGGGTCAGCCCAAAGCCCATTACTGTGGGCCCGGGCCCCGACCAGAATCCGTACAAGCCCGAGCTCGGCCCGACCCTTGTGCAGGGCCGGGCTGGGCCATAATTCCAGGCCCGCAAGCGGCCCAAGCCCGGCCGAAGAGCCCGAATGGCCCGAAATAGCCCAAAGGCCTAAGTTTTTTTTTTTCTTTACTTGTTTCTGGCCTTTTTTTTCACTTGTTTATGGCCCAATTGGCCAAGCCCAACAGTAATACTACCGTTGGGCTGACTCATTGCCGTAAGGTAGTGAGTCTGTTTTTTTTTTTTTTTTTTTTATTTACTTGGGCTCCTTTTCACTTGTTTATGGCCCAATTGGCTAAGCCCAACGGTAATATTACCTTTGGGCTGATTCATTGCCGTGAGGCAGTGAGTTTTTTTTTTTTTTACTACTTATTTCTAGCCTTTTTGACTTTCTGACTCACTGCTGTGAGGCAGTGAGTCTAATGGCAGAAGGCTGCAGGCCTGCAGCCCTCTTTTTTTTTTTTTTTTTTTTTTTTTTTTTTAAGTTGCACTTGTTTGTGTGTTGTGGCCTAAGCGGCCAAGAAGCCCAACGGTAATATTACCGTTGGGCTACCTTGCCGCTGACTCACTGTTGTGAGGCAGTGAGTCTAAAGCAGAGGGACAAGGCTGCAGGCCCTCTGCCGTTTTTTTTATACTTTTTCCCCCTAAAATTCTTAAATTTTATCTATAAATACCCATTTAATTAACCCATTTTTTTTTTCACACAACACAACTTTTACTCTCTCTATTCTCTTCTTATTCTCCAATTTTTTCTCAACTCTCAATTCTCACTCACATTAATTCTCTCAATTTTGTTATTTCATTTTTGTTGGAAAATTTTTTTTTTGGTAATTCTCTAATCTCTACTTCAATTTTCAAGTTACAATTTCATTATCCATATCAAGTAATCAAGGTATTGATAAATTTTAGAATTATAAATATTTTAATTTTTTTTATATCTAATTTATTGTGAATATTTAATTTTTAGTGTTAGCATGTATTAATATGTTTATTGTTGTTATTATTATTATTATTATAAGAAATAGAAAATGGAACCAAATATGTATAGGTATGGTCTTGATGGTGTTGACTACTATAGAATGGATAATCAAGACGTTGAAGAAGCAACAATTCAACGAATGGAGGCGAGTGACCAAGTAGGTGACATGCCACAAAATATAAATATTCAACCGAATCAACCCTAAAAAATGCCGACGGGCTCAAGTGGTTCAACATCATCAACGACAACAAAACATGCGAGACAACGTGCAGAATGTTGGAAATACTTCACTACACAAGAGAAAATTGACGCTGGAGGTAAGAAAATAAAATTAGCTACATGTATATATTGTAAAAAAGTTTTGACCGCAAATTCTATAAATTAAACTCGACACTTGAGAGATCACGGAGTTAAATGCGCTAGACTACATCAAGCCAGGACGGAGCCTACACAAACTCAACTTCAATTAAACCCGGATGGTTCGGTAAGTACTTGGTCCTATAATCCTCAAGTTGCTAGGGAATCTTTATGTCGATTTATTTCTGCTTTAGATTTACCTATTAATCTTGGTGATAACCCACATTATGAAGCGCATATTCAACGTGCACATTGTCCTCAATTTCAAAAAGTTTCTAGAACTAGTACTAGGAGTGATATGATTACATACTATGAGAAAATGCGTCTTGCATTAATAGCTAAAATGAGTGCATTAAATTTTTCAATTGCATTAACCTCTGATATTTAGAGTGGTAGGGCCAATCAAGATTATTTGAGCGTAGTTGCACATTATTTAGACTCTAAATGAAATATGCAGAAAAGAATTATTGGTTTTAGACTTATTAATTGTTCACATAATGCTGACAATATTGTTGAGAGACTTGTTAGTGTTATTCAAGATTTTGGTATACGAGACCGCATTATCTTTATCACCTTAGATAATGCTACAGCTAATGCAAGGGCGATATCAATGTTGGAGGGACCTATAAACTCGTATAGTGGTAGAGTTTTACTTAATCAAAGGTGTGCATGTCATATAATTAACCTCATTGTCAAATCAGGTATGCGTATGGTAAGTTCTACAATTGATAATATTCGAAATGTCATTTCTTGGATTCATAATTTAAACCCCCGCATTGCTGAGTTTAAGAGGTATTGTAAAGCAGAAGGTATGAAGCCTAGAAAGTTTGGTCTTGACATACCTGTTATGTGGAATTCAACATATATGATCCATATAAAAATATTATCACTATTTTTTTCAATACAAAAATGGGCAAAACAATGTTGCAGGAGGATGGCTAGTTTATTTGTGAACGATTTGTGTCTTTTTTAGAGGTTTTTTTTTATGATTTTACTGTTTTATTATCTGGTATTTATTATCCTACTTCTCCATTAGTGTTGTATCAAATTTATGAGATTACAGATTTATTTGAAACGTATAGAAATGATATGTTATTTAAATCGATAGTAGAAAAAATGGAAGCAAAGTTGAGGAAATATTAGTCTGAAATTCCTCTGTTGTATTGTTTAGCTATTTTTTTGGATCCTAGAGTAAAATTATTCGGTGTTGGAAATGTTCTTTCTCATATCGGTGGCCAGTTGGACATAAATTATACTTCACAGGTTGTTAACACACGTGAGAAGTTGTTTGAGATTTATGCAATTTATGAGAACAAGTTCGGTAACTTGACAACTCAACGAACGCAAGAAAATCAGTCGCCCACTCAAAAAAGAAGTTTTGGAATTTTATATCTTCTCATCGTGGTGGCTCTAGTTCGTCATCAACTGTGACTCCGAGTGTCAAGCCACCACCATCAACACCAACGACGAATAGGGAGCTCAACAGATACCTTGAGATAGAATTCTCGATGATAGATGGTGCTGATAATGAAGACAATTTCTAAAATTTGACATGGTGGAGGCTACAAGGTGTAAGATTTTCAGTAATTTCAATATTAGCACGTGATATTTTGACTATTCCAGTATCAACAGTGTCTTCAGAATCTGTCTTTAGCACAGCTGGGAGGATAATTGAAGAAAGAAGGACTTCGTTGACTCCAGAAATGGTTAAGGTGCTAATATGTCTAAAAGATTAAGAAAATACTTCTTTGCGAATGCAACACCCAGCCGAAGATAGCGATTTAATATATCAATTTCAAAACTTATACATTGATGATGACGCTTTTGATGCCGAGAGTAATGTAGCAAGTAATTAGATATTTTTGTTTCTTAAGTATATATAAATTGTAACTGTGAAAATAATACTGCACTCTTTTTTCCTTATCAAGGTTTTATCCCAATAGATTTTTCTTGGTAAGATTTTAATAAGGCAATTATAATTACATAAATAAATTATTATTCCATTAAAATTTTACAATATTCACTATTTATTATAAATTTCGTATGTTTTTTTTAATTTTTTATAAATCATGTTCGGGTCGGACCGAGCCGATTCGGGCCGGCCCAGCCCCCCCATTAGCCCGGCGCGGCCCTAGGCCTGTCGGGCCTTAGGGCCGGCCTGAGCTTATATAAAATTATTTAGGGCCGGGCCGACCCAGCCCGAACTACACTTTCGGGCCACCGGGCTCGGGCCGGGCCGGGTGGCCCAAATTTTCAACTCTAGATGTCCCCTATAATTAATACTCATTTAATAAATGTTGAAAAAAATCTATACTTTTTTAGATATAATTTCATAATACCTAATTCAACCCTAAAATCTATACTTTTTTAGATATTATTTCATAATACCTAATTTAACCATCTCATATCCCCACTTTAATTATGATATTGATTTAATTTATAAAATAATATATACATCCCTTAAGAATAATAACATAATTCCTTTCCTTTTAACCATTAATGTTATGTTCCTTTTTAAAATTATTGTAATTCATCAATCTTTTTTTTTCATTTTTACCTTTATTTATCACTCTTTTTTTTTTTTTTTTCCCCTGAAGGTGTATTCATCACTCTTCCCACCTTTATTGCATCGGAAAAGTCTCTAAATTTGTACATGGTTCTATAAAAATTAAAAAAAAAAGAAGAAAAAAAAATTGATGGTTATTAACGTTATGGTTTCTTCTCTAGAATAATATGTTGTTGCTAGTTTGTGATTAAAGGTTGAATGTATTGGGGAAATCCATTCGCAGAGTTATCTCCAATGTTATCATCTTTCATTGTTAGAAACAAAGTACAAAGTAGAGTAAATATCATAAACTAATGCCAAAAAGAGTTATTATTATAAAAATAATAATTAATCACCCCAACGAACATTAATCTTATATAGGGACGAAGGTTGCATGCATGTCCATAATTGTTTCTTCGAGAGAGAGAAAAAAAAAAAAAAAAAAAAA